AATGAAGCAGCCGCTTGAAGAAAAATCCTGGAACGAATCTTGAGTCTGTTTTTGTTACTTGGAGAACATGGATTAGCTTTACGTGGAAAACCTGATTTAGTTTGAGATTCTCATAATGAAAATTTTTCAGAATTACTGAAACTGATTTCGCATTACAACCCAATTTTCAAATAACATGTAATAAAAGTTAATTATAGGACAAGGGTCAACTGCTTCAGACTTATTACCTGTCAAATTGCTCTCAAAATAAACTCATTGGCGTTGGTTCAGCTGAGGTGTACAGGAAAGCATGTGCCCCTCCCCCCCAAACACATTTTTTAAAGAACTTTTTTTTTTCTTTAAATTTAGACTTTTTTAGAAATTGACGGTTGTGCCCCTCCACTTCATAAGCCGTGTTGTTGACCTGCTTTAAACAATAAAATTTCAAATTTTTTGAGTTAAAATTACAGAAAGATATTGAGTATTATTAAAAAGTTAAAAATTTTTACTTAGTTTTGTTTTATTCAAAAATAAATTAAAACCACTGCAATTTTAAGACCTTAAACTAGGTAATTTCAATGAAAAAACACAGGGTAATTTGAGAAAGCTCATATTTCACAAAAATAGTTCTTCAAAAAAGTTCGAAACAAACTCTGGACATATTTTCACCTTACAGTAAGGAAAGATACTTAAACTTCCAGGTTAAATGCACTTTCGCAGTGCTCTGTGACAAGACCGTTAGGTCTTCTTGGGGTACCTAAATAACAAAAAAAAAATATTTCTATGCATATTTCTACACATTGTTTCTTAAACACAAATGAATTCTAGATATGGGATCGTTCATAAGTTACGCAAGGCAAAATATATTTAAAAAACAGAGATAGGAGATAATAATCTCTTTTACTCAGCAATTTTCCTTAAACTTAATGGGCTATTTTATTTTTTTTTTCAAATTAAGACTCTGCTAGGGAAAACATTTGATCTTTTTTGTATTGTTTTTTGTGAAAGTTTGCGTTACGTAATTTACAGACAATCCCTAACATATTTTTCTTTATGAAAAGTTAAATTTCATTACTTTAGCATCAAAAAATTGTGCCGCGGATTTATTCATGCGATATTTTAACAAAGCAAAAAAATTGAGAAGTGTTTTAATTAGATTAGAGCCGCTAATTACTGCATGCAAATTTACGCTAACTATTTTGAATCCTGTTATTATCACATAAAGTTGATTCAAAAAGTACAAATCAACTTTAACTTTACTGCTTATATCTTAGATATCTAATTATATATGCCATAATAGACGTGGCAGAATAGTGTCGCTAATTTGATTGTCGAATTTATAAAAAAGGAATAGTGTCGCCAATTGTTGCATTATTGATTGTCGAATAACAGACTAAGGAATAATGTCGCAAATGAATTTAATAAATATTGTCGAAAAATAAGAAAAAGGAAAAATGTTGAAAAGAAGTTTAATAAATAGTGTTAAAAAAGAAAAAAAAGGAATGATGTCGCATATGAATTTAATGAACAGTGTTGAAAATAAAAAAAAGGAATAATATCCTTAAGGAGATTATTGAATAGTAACAAAAAAAAAATTATAATAAATAAAAATGTGTGTTTTGATAACATTTCTGATGCTAACCTGAAAATGCTGGGGGTTTCAGCACATACAATAACTATCTTATAGCTTAATGTCGCAAAGGAGTGCCGCTACATTGACTGAGGATTTAAAGTTTGGTAGTACTCGTTTCTTTATTCTTATTCTTTGTTTGTTTTTTTTTTTTTGTTTTTTTTTCTCTAAAAGCCGTATTCTATAAATATAAGCAAAACGAGTTAGCCATTGCTGTAATTAACTATCAGCAATACTATTCCATTTTTTTTTTTTGTTTTAGACGCTTTTCATTATAGGGCCATCCATAAAGTACGTCACCATTTTTTAGCCCATTTTTGACCCTTCCACCCCTCTTTTGTCACTTGTTGTCCTTTTTCCCTATAACCCCCTGGAAAAGGACGTCATAGAATCCTAACCCCTCTCCCTATTTTTAACTCTAAAAAAATTTATTTCATCTTGCAATGATGTTTGAATCTGCTGCTACACCTTTCGAAAATTAAATTACAAATATTCTTTGACGTCCTTTATGAATGGCCCCTATATTCATTTGCGACATTATTCCTTTTTTTATTTTCGACATTCAACAAACCCTAACCCTAACAAATCACTTTGTTCTTCGCTTTGTCCGCCTAGGATCTAAAAACCAGGGAATTGTAAAAAAACGTTTTCTGAAGGTTAAAAATCTAGAGAGAAAAAAAGGTTCTGACATTGCAAAGCTGATTATAGGCGTTATGGATTAAAGCCGATTTAAATGCCACGAATGAATTAAAGCCGATTTAAATGCCACGAATATTCGGCCGAAAATTCGGCGACACTTAATTATATTATGTGCTCCGACCTGCGTTGTTGTAGTACTCAAGTCAACTACTCTGTGGGCATTTATAAAGAGGTTGTGTCACATCATGCATTATTTGTTGACTGTTACACCAAATATTTTAACTACAGTTATGCATAAAAGTTTCATACTGTTCAAACCATTCAGAAAAGTTTAAAAATAACCAGCTCAGGTAAATCTTTCACTTCTGTGGTAATTTCAGAATATGCTATAGATTGAATTAACATAAAAAAATCCAAACTTGATAAAAATGTTATTTTTACGACAACCTGAACTTAAAGCTCTCCTATGTGTCAACAATGCTTGCCTCCTTTCCTCAATCAGAAAGCATTTCTTAGATGACGAGACAAAGATTTTAAAGACTCTAACCAATGTTCTTGACCGACTACGTTCTTCTTGACCCGAAATCCTTCAAGAAGTGAAACTAGTTGCATTTGGGTTAGCTTTGTTTGGTTTTCAAAATAATTTTGTTATTGCTCTTGACACTCAAAAAGCAACGGGTATATTTTTGTTTATATGTTGTTCTTCATCTCCTTCTAGTGATAAAGAAAAACCTAGTTAGAAAGAAAAATGGAAATTCCTGGCAAATGATGACGTAAATGATGCAAAAGAAGAGGAGTTGATTGAAAAAATCCGTCATCTAGATGTTCTGAAGCCGTCATCTAGATGTTCTGAAGCCGTCATCTAGATGTTCTGAAGCAATCAAATACTTTTGGACAAACAGAACTTCTTTCTTCTAGTAAGTTGCTCAACAGAATCTACCAGAAAGGCCTTCAGTCTGCATTTTGATTCGCATTTTTAATAAAATCCCGGTTTCAATGGTTGAAAAAAAGCGCTCTTTCAGTAACCTTTTGGTGAATTCAATTGAAAACTACCTTAACAAGAATTTAGTGTACGAAAATGTCATCTCTAGTTTCTCAAAGAAGAAAGTCCGCAAAGTAAAATTAGTGTTAGACTAGTCTTCGTAATTAACATTTTATTGATGAAATATATTGTATTTTTATTTTCGTTTTCCCATATATAACCAAGTTCAAATGTTGAATGTTTATGTAGAGCGATACAAAAAATAATTATTGAAAATACAAAAATAATTATTGTTTTCATTAAATTCTAATCATTTGAATTTAATGAAAAAAAAGTAGACTACTATTACATTAGAACCTAATATACAGACAATAAACAGTGAAACTCATGCTTAATTCAATATTCCCAGGAATTCAAAGTTTGGGGCACTGAGCAAATAATGACCCTGGGCACCACAAAATCTCTGTGCGGGCTCGGACCAAGTAATCTACTTAGTATTATATTACTTGATTTCCTTGACTTATTTGATACCATGCAAAAATTCACATTTATTTAATATCTCATATTATTTAATATCTCATATTTATTTAATAACTCAAGCTGATTTAATAAACTACTACTTTAGTAGATTATTTGATAACACTTAGTTATTAGATCCCCTGGTTATTAGATCCCTCTGAGATATTAAATACATTAGTATTTATTATCTCAAAGTATTAAATTTTTCTGCAATGGGATTGATTTGTTCAGTAGGGTTAAATAATCTAGTATTGTAGTATATTATTAGATCCGCCTGAATTATTTGATTCTATCGCAGAAAACTTACATATATTCAATAATTAAGACAGATCTAATAATTCAGGCGGGTCTAATTATCTATTATAGTAGTAGACCATTATCAACTACTATAATAGATTATTAGTTTTATCCAATGGGATCCAATAATTCCGGCGAATCTAATTACCTACTACATTGCTAGTCGAGATTTAAATAAGATTTTAAATAATTATGTTGCTTAGGTGAAATGAACATCATAGTTTAATAATATGGTCTGTTATGACTGTTTTTTAATAATATAGTCTGTTATGACTGTTTTTCAACAATATGGTCTGTTATGACTGTTTTTCAACAATATGGTCTGTTATGACAGTTTTTTAATAATATGGTCTGTTATGACTGTTTTTTCTTTTTTTTTAATTTAAAGTTATTCTTGATCGAAATTCTTAAATATTTGGAAAAAATTAATAGAGTTATTGTTTTTTGATAACTATATTTAATTAATATGTACCAGAACAGATTAGGACTAGGATCTATAGTGGTTAATTCACTTAATGAAAAGATTTTAACTAAAATCAAGTTAAAGACTCAAAAATGGTGTTCTTTAGGTTCACTATTAAGAGTAGTAAAAAATTGTTAAAAAATGTATAAAAAAGAAAAAAATTCCTTAAATATCATAAAAATCTGATGCAAAAAAAAGTTGTAACATGCATATAAATATATGTTATGTCCGAACTTTTGCTTAATAATATGCTAACAAAATCAACTCCAAATAAAATAATTTGAATAATTTAAAAATTAACTTAATCTCACCGAGTAAGTAAATAAAACATTAAAAAAAAAAGAGTTTAATATGTTACTTATATCATTATTAATTCATAAATAATTTCTATATTGAAAAGTTTTGGCTTAATATACTATTTTTGGTATAATATATATTACATATTACCACATATTAGGTTATATCTTTAAAAAGTTAGTTTTTCTATATAGCTGGATGTGGCACATGCAATGAAAATGCTCAATGTGTGACTTCTACAAATGGTGTTGAAAGTTGTGTTTGCTATAGTGGATACCTTGGTGATGGATACACATGCTCAGGTATATCAATTTTTTATGTAGTTATGCATTGAATATAAATGTCAGTTTTTAGTAATAATCTGGAAAATAAAATAAGTTTTGAATCTTTATAATTTGATAGACTGATAGAATTTTATAATTTGAGTGAAGTTATTTATTAATACAAAAACTCTATAATCTGATTAATAATTAAGTTTGTATGTACTTACGTATTTTAATTATAAGAAGGTTAGGAACTAAAAAGTGTTACGTTTAAGAAATAAAGATAATTTTTAAAAAGCTATTTTTCAAATTACAAATACAAAAGGTTGAGCACAATGAAACTTTTTTTTGTATTTTTTAATTACTAATTACTTAAAAACTACTTAACAGATTTCTAACTTTTATAAAATTTATACAATTTTTGATACAATTTTATTGAGATTATAACTGCTTTATATTTATCTTTAAATCTTTTTTTCACTTCCAGCTTGTTATTCAACTAGATTGAGTCGGTTTATATCACTATAGAATAAATTCAATTAAGGATTAGTCAATTTTGATATATCAACTCGTGATAATAAAAGATATTTATTGGTTCAGCCGAATATAAAATTATAATAAAAAATTATAATATAATATAAAACCGAATATAAAATATAAACCGAATATAACCGAAAATAAATTCGAATAAACTAGTTTTTTTTTCTGCCTTTTCTTATTTTATCTTCTGAAATTTCCATTAAGTATATATCTAAGAAAAAGCGTATTTTTTTTATTTCTACACAGCTTTAAGATTTTTATTTCTATACAATTTTATGTGTTTTGTTTTTTTGCAAAAAGAGCAAAAATGTTACTTTGTTAAGATGAAGATTGTAGCGCAAGATAACGATTGACAGACGACTTAAAAGATAACAAATTATACGAATCAGGAAAGCAAGATGAAGGAAGCGAATTCCAAAGACCTGATGTTCGAGGGAAAAAACTAGACGAATATGAGTTTTTGGAGCACTTAGGAACAGTAACAGAAAAAGGATGAGACTTAATTGAATGACGAGTAACACGAGAATGAATTTTAGTAGATAGCACAAGAGACTCTAGCTCTTTAGAGCAGTGCCCATTATAGTATTTGTAGAAAAGAGAAAGAGAAGCAACATTACGACGATGTGACAAAGGTTGAAGGTTGACTGCAAGAGCAGGTCCAACTATGTTTACAATGCGTTTTTTCACCTCTTTCTCTAAAAGAGAAAGAGCGTGATTAGAAGATCCTCCCCAGATATGGCAACAGTTTTCCTTACAAGGCTGTATTTGAGGTTTATAGAGATAGAGAATAGAATCTAGAGTAAGTAAGTGTTGAGCTCGATAAAGAGATGCAACTTTAACAGACGCTAATTTTGCAACGGATTTGATATAAGGTTTCCAAGAAAGATAAAGGATGACTCATCGAGTACATTATTGCTCATAAATATAGGAAGGTCTAAATTATTGCGTAAACGATTGGCTGAAAAAAATTAAGTTTTATCTGAATTAAAGTTTACCAGACGGTAATTAGACGGTAATTAGGCGTTTACCAGACGGCAACCAGACAGTAACCAGACGGTAATTAGACGAATCAGATCGCTCTCCAAAATTTTTAAAAATAGTGATAACAATTGCTGCTTTCCAGCAGGGTGGAAAACAAGACTCTGATAAACACTTGTTGAATAGTTTTGAAAGGATAGACGACAGCTCCGGAGAATACTTTTGCAAGACTATAACAGGTATGTTGTCCGGGCCGCAAGCTGCAGAAGAGTCTAAGCAGGAAATCACTTTAGATACAGAAGCTGGAGGGATACGGATGTCGAGCGATGGATTAACCTGTTTGACGGCTTTTTCAAGTAGAACGCAACTAGTGGAATCAAGAGATGATATTGATGAAAAGTTCTTAACAAACAATTCAACTTTGTCTTTAGATGATGTGAAAAAATCTGAACCATACAAAAGAGTTGGAATTGCAGACTTGCCCTTATTATTGATACAATTACAAATTCTCCAGAAGTCACAAGATCCTAATTTTTGTGTTGAAATACGAGAATTCATGATCTGAGAATAGCGGGCTTTGACGTTAGACAAAACCTTTTTACAATGATTCCGAGCAGTAATAAACGAACGTCTTTTTTCTGGAGAATTATTTTGCTGATAGATATGGAAGTAATGGTTTCTATTAACGATTGCAGTAGCACAATGTGAGGAAAACCATGAAGAAGAGTGAGGCTTGCCATAGAATTGTCGAGAGGAAATAAAGGATTCCATGCCAGCCTAAATCCACGAAGTTATGTAAGAAGCACATTTGTCAACAGGAAGGCGAAAGATTTCTACCCAAGGGCCATCACGAAGAAAATCACGAAAAGAGTCCCGGTAAGCTTAGTTGTAAGATGCACAATAAAAGGGGGATTCTGATGATAAAAAAGAATAAGATAATAGTTTTAGAGAGACCAAACTATGATCGATTGCACCTAAGGGTGAATGTAGAGAAAATGAGCACTGACTAGGATCAGAAACAAGACATAAGTTGAGTAGAGAAGGCAAATGATTCGGGTTGTCTGGAAAGCAAGTTGGAAAGTTGACTATTTGAGTTAGGGATTTAGAAAGGCAAAATTTTTGGGCTTTAATGCCTGCAGAGTCACTGACTCTAAGATCACAAGATGAGACAGTTGAACTCAAATTAGTCTCACAAATAGCAAGTAGGTCTGGTAAACTTTGCAAGAGATAAGACTCAACAGAAGAAAAGTTACTTCGAAGACCACGAATATTAGTGAATGATAGGTTTAGCGAACTTGGTGATGACTGTGGTTTTTTTTATTTTATAGTTTTTGTTACTTTATTCATTTTTAAGTTTATTAAAGAACTTGACTCGAAACAAAGATAGTACTCAGTATATTGTTTAATGGCCCAAGCAATTGCCTCATTACTATTAATAAACCCTAAGCCGTTTTAAAGAACTCCAATGTGGCCTTGGCAAGCCCACCAAAAGTACAAACAGAGACACCATCCATGCGCAACATGGTACTGTTAGTACTTTGATATTTTTCAGCTGTTGATGGAATCAGGCTCTCTGAGAGTTAGCACAGAATTCGGGAAACCTGTCTACCAGCCAGCCCCAGAACCATAAAAAAGAGTTTTAGAGATGTACCCTCATTAGGAGATAATAGAATGAGTTGCCTAGTCATAAAAACAGAGACAAAAGCAAAACCCATGCATTGAGTCAAGAGGATCCAGCATTCAACATCCTAAACTGAAAACAATTAATTAAAAATATATCTGCGCTAGCCTAATAGATGAAGAAGGGGTGCAAGGCTGCTCAACAGAGAGAAACTGTTTACCCGTTAATTCATTGCCTTAGAGGCCTTCCATAAGACAGCAGCCGGACGTATTTAACATCTGCCCAAGATGAGTGTTTTTATCGAGACACCATCTCTAGCCTTTATTCAACCAAGAGTCCCAAGAGGGTGTTTTATGTCGGAGTTGGCATCTCCTAGTTTTTGCCTAAAAAGGCGTATCCTACAAGGCAGCAGGACATGAAGCAGATTGTACTGGGTAACATGTTACCAGTGGCAGACAAAACCTGACCTATAAAATTATTATAGCTGTAAAAATTAAACTACTATAACTGATGACTTGCTTTTATCAACTAAACTCTTTCCAGTATTGGGATTGAATAAAATCTATACTCAATTTAATAAATTTATTACATAACATGCTTCAGTTTCTGATGTAAATGTCAATTTTATAACATTATTAAATTTTTTTCTCATAATTTTGACTCTCCTTCCACGCATCCAATTATTATTTATAGTTATAGATAAGAGTACACACCAACTGAATTTTCTTGTGGTTGAACCTTATCAAAAAAACTGATTTATAAAAGAAGAGATGATTTGATTATATACTCAATGTACTTTTTAGAATCTACTTTTGTTGAAACAATTTTTCCCAAGAAATCAAATGTTATTGTTATTTGCATATATAAACACCCAAGCATGAATTTAAACGACTTCAATAATAAAATGTCTGTCCTTCTTCAAAAAATATCTACTGAAAATAAATCTGTCTTTCAACTTACTTCTTATAATATTTGCTTATTTATTACGCAACGAGAGTTACTCGCTATTCTGCTACAATCATTGACAATACCTTTTCAAATGTAACCACTAACCAATTTATTTTAGAAAATTAAACAGCTTCAATTTTTGATTACCTACCTCAATATCTTATTTGTCCTAATTTCAGCAAATTATTTATACCACATAATCATAATTTATTCCGCAGGAACTTTAAAATTAAAATAAAGAATCTTTAAAATCTGAAATATTTAAAGTTTATTGGAATGGCATTACGAATGTCAACTCTAGTTTTAAAGCATTTATTTCTCAAACAACATTGTTGTTAGATTGTCATGTGTCACTCAAAAAAAAAGTATTAAGAGCTACAAGCGTCAATTCGAGCCATGGATTACTAAAGGTATAATAAAATCGATTCAAATTCTAAATCTTATTCAAGGGAAAATATTAAGGATAAAAGCATAAACTAAAAACTATTTTTAAACGCTATAAATATACTTTTCTTTTTGTTGCCATATAAATTTATTAGAATCGTAAATGATAATATAAGTACATATAAAAGGGGCAAGAAGAAGATATAATTGGTCTTGTCACCCTTATCTAAGCCTCTTAGTAGGTAAGTAGACTCTAATATATATACCATAATTAATCTAATAAAACTGAGTAAAAAAATACATTTAAAAAATTTATTTTCAGATAATGTAAAATATCTTCTTAAAAAAGGTAAAAAAATGCCTGGAAAGGCATAAAAAGTCTAATTAATGTCAAAAATTTTAATTTGCTTAAATGTTAATTTGCTAAAATTGCCAAATTGCTTACAAGTTAACGAAACATACTTAACTAACCAACTCGAATTTTTTTCAACAACTTTTTCATAAATGTAACTCATAAACTTAATTCAAGAATTCACTCAATCATAAACTCCAAATCTTTATAGTTTACTGATATCTCCAAAAAACTATTTCTAAATCTCATTACTTTTATCTAAAGTAAAACCTAGAAAATCAATAGTTCTTAACTTCATCCCCACAAATATTCTTATTGATTTTAATATTTTCTCTCTAAGCTATTTAATATCTTCTTCTGAAATGGAGTTTTTCTTGACATTTTAAAACTATTTTTTGTCATTCAGATATATAAAAATAGCTCAAAACACTCATGTACTAACTATAGACCAATTTCAATTGTCTATAGTTAGTAACAATGTATTCTAGATTATAATCATTTTTGAGTTCTTTTAACTGTTTAAATGATTTTTAATTTGGATTTTGATCAAAACACTCTATTTGTTACGCTTTAATAAGTATAACCAAAAAAATAAAAAAGGTACTGGATACTGGTTATTTCTTTGGTAGTGTTTTTATCAACTTACAAAAAGCGTTCGATACTGTTAATTATTACATTTTAATTTCTATACTTGAACATTAGGGAATCTGAGTAGTTGCTTTTAATTGATTTCAATTTTATCTTATAAATTAAAAGCAGTTTGCTAGCATTAATGGTTACAAATCAAATAAGAAACACATAGTTTGTGATATTCCCTCAGGGTTCTGTTCTTGGTCCTTTATTGTTTTCAATTTATATGAATGATCTAAATAACTCTGTCCGCTTTTCATCAGTCCATTTGTTTGCTGATGATACTAATATCTTGCATATTAATAAGTCTCATCATTCCTTGTGTAAACTTACTTAAGTCTCACCATTCCTTGTGTAAACTTACTTAAGTCTCATCATTCCTTGTGTAAACTTACTTAAGTCTCATCATTCCTTGTGTAAACTTACTTCAGTCTCATCATTCCTTGTGTAAACTTACTTAAGTCTCATCATTCCTTGTGTAAACTTACTTAAGTCTCATCATTCCTTGTGTAAACTTACTTAAGTCTCATCATTCCTTGTGTAAAAATATTAATTTAAAAAACGTTTTCTGAATGCAAACTTAATTCTGTGAACTTGAAAAAAACTGAACTAATATTTTTTTCATCTCAAAGACAAAAATTTTTACACAACAATCATATAATTAAAAATAAAATTAATAATGGACTTTTAAATCCAACACACGTTGTTAAATATCTTGGTATTTTTATAGATTCGAACCTCACATGGAATTTTTATATAGATGAACCATTTCGTAAAAAACTTAATCAAGCTAATGACATGCTTTCAATAATTCGCCATTTTGTTGTTAAAACTATCGTAAAGAATCTGTATTTTTCAATTTTTCAGTCTCATCTCCATTACTGCTGTCAGGTTAAGGGACAAATTGGCAACTGCAATATTAATAAATTGTTATAAGCTCAGCGACAATCAATCCAAATAATAAACTTTCAACTCCGTAATACAGAAACTTCAAACTTAAAACTTCAAAAACTTAAAATTCCTGCCTTCTCAGCATTAGTTAGATTTGTTAATCTTCTTTTTATTTTTGACTCCCTTAATAAAAATTTATCTTGCTTTGTTATGACCTTCTTTACTAAAACTCAATTTATACATTCACATTTAACTAAAAATATCAATAATGGAAAACTAAATGTACCTACCTATAAAACTTTGAGGTATGGTAAGTATTCAATTAAACATCAGTCGTCAGTTTCTTTATTTAAAACAAAATAAATTTAAAAACGTTTTAAAAAAAAATTATTTTAATTTTTTATCATTAACTTCCTTTAGTTTTCTAATTTTCTTTTTCTTCTGACTATTTTTATAGAAACTTTATTGTTTTTGTCATTATTGTTTATTTGTTTCATTACTGATATTTTTATTATTACTATTATTATTATAATAGTAATAAATACTATTATTTTTGCTGTTACTTTTGCTCTAATAGTTAATAAAGTTATTGTTTTTATTATTTTTTTTTAATTAATATTATTAATATAACTATTTGGTGTCACTCCTTTGATCAGGTTTCTGGATTAGTGACTCCTTCCTCGTCAAAAATTTATTTATATTTATTCTTAATAATGATATTTTGGTATTTTAAAAAAAATATCCTTTTGTTTTGTTGTTGTTGTTGTTGTTGTTGTTGTTGTTGTTGTATTTGACGTTTTTTCTCAAACGCCCCATTTTGATTGGCGTCTTTAGACAATTGCCTAAAAATACACATAAAATTTTTGATAAAAATAAAGAAGTTATAGTAATTTTGCTGATAAATGTTTAATTTTTTATTTAGATTATAATGAATGTAACAGTTCATATCCTCCATGTTCTTGGACTAATGGAGTGTGTCAAAATACATTTGGTAGTTTTTTGTGCTCATGTAAAACTGGATGGGTTTTAGATGTAAATAACTCTAGTTGCATTGGTGAGTAATTTTATAGTGTATATATATATATATATATATATATATATATATATATATATATATATATATATATATATATATATATATATATATATATATATATATATATATATATATAGGTACGAGGACTGATTTTTATTAATTAATCAAATGCTAGAATATTATACATCATTAGAAAGCCCTAAAATACAGTATTTTAAAGAAAAAAATATGAAAATCAGACAATTCTATAAAAAAGTTATGACGTTTTTAGTAGCAAATTTTCGATATATGGATTTCTTGATAAAACTGTGGTCAAAAACATCTTTTTTTTTCACATAAATTGTTATTACTTTGCCGATTCTTATTCAATTATCTAAAATTTATTGTCAAAAGATAGATTTTGAAATGGGCTAAAATTTCAAATTAGTTTCTAAGTAAAGGGCAGATCGAGGAAGTATCCGGCCAACTTTAGCGGAAAATCGGGGTTTTTTTGCGAAAAAAACAATATTTATCATAAAAAACGTTACAAAAAATAAGGTCCTCAAATTTTAATTTCGGCGGCGCTCAAATAGGTTGATGTTATCGAAAATGGTCTAGAATAGCTTTTGTCACTTGTTTAATAGTTTTACTAATTGATTCACCGTTGTAAAATAACAGGATTACATGTCAATTTCTACAGTGTGTAAATAATACGTCATGCAAAGTGAAGTTTACAGCTAAAAACTGTTTCACTGCATCCTGAACCACACATTCACTATTTTTTGGACCCATAACTCTTGAAAAAATACATTGAAAGAGTTAATATATTTTAATTTTTTATAATATTTTAATTGAATTTTCTGAAAAGTAATGCATTAAAATATTATAAGTCGTTAACAATTATAATGCAACATTGTTACATTACATTTACTTATACATTTTATAATAACAAAAAAAAATTGTTTTAATAGAATAGACTTGAAAAATGTCATACATACCTATACAAACAAATAACTGTTTAACTATGGTTCCACTAATACTTTAACCTAAATAATGAAAATCAAATTTTTAGTAACTGTAAATATAAGCCAAATTGTTTTTAAGATAAAATAATCGTTATAAAAGTCAAATAAACAGATTAAATAAACTAAAATAAGAAAACTAAATAAGTTCGCAAAAGACTTTAAACATTGAATAATTGGCCAATTGAATAAAAATGAGCGATTGAATAAAAATGAGCGATTGAATAAAAATGAGCAATTGCACAGTAATTGGTCAGCTTTATGTGAATAAAAACTTAAGCAAAATTGTTGAAGATTTTATTCACGTAATTACTACGTAAAAGCAATTGAAGAGCTTAGTGTTAAAAGTACTTAAGTAACAAAAAAATTGTTTTGAAAACTTACTTTGATCAGAGATAGAACACTTTAAAACAAGAATTTAAAATGGCTGATCAAAGTAGATTTTCTTAAAACATTTATTTTGTGACTTAGGTACTTTTAGAAATAAACTCCTCAATTGCTCATTTTTATTCACCAGGCCTAATAAATAACATTTAAAATGATACACATGAATTTAAAACTGCATTTAATATAAAACTTATTTATATTGATTTTATATTATATTGATATTATACAAATTTATATTGATTTAAAATAGATCAATATAAATTTGATTTGTATACTTAGTATACAAATCAAAAAAATTTTTTACTTATAAGGTGTCTTAATGAAATTTTCAACTGTTACTATTAGTTAACAATCAAGTCAAAACAGTTTTAATTTGAGACAATCTTTTTTTAAAAAATAATCTTGAGTATCAAAAATTTTTATACTTAAGATTATCTTACTAAGATAAACAAAAAGAGTAAAGTTTTTACTTTTATGCTTAAGATTATCTTACTAAGATAAACAAAAAGAGTAAGGTTTTTACTTTTATACTTAAGATTATCTTACTAAGATAAACAAAAAGAGTAAGGTTTTTACTTTTATAATTATTGAATGAAAATGTTTTGTTTTAAAAATTGTTATCAATAACATAATTGTGTTAAAATTTAAAAAAAAAATTAACTTGCTCTCTGATAGGGAATCTAGATACTTTTGAAATGTATCTAATTTTATTAAAATCTTATAATAAAAATCAAAATAATTCAAAGCTGTAATAATTTTTTTTTAAGAATGGTCCCCCTTATCCATCCCCGTATTTATATATTTCGCTACTACCGAAAAAAAAATTAGAAAAACAGAAATTCGGTACCAAAAGTACTGCACTTATTTAACTATCTGCTCCTAATTATTTTTTAATAAAACTTGGCAAATAAGCAAAAAATTTATGTAGAGAGTTAGATAAACAATTAAAAAACGTTTCTTCTACTATAAATTCATGTAAGAATATCAACCATATTTTCAGGACCATAAAAATCCATAAAAAAGTTAGTTAACCATACATAACCATACCTAACCATACCTAACCATACCTAACCATACCTAACCATAGATAACCATACATAACTATACATAACCATACATAACCATACCTAACCATACATAACCATACATAAACATACATAACCATACCTAACCATACATAACCATAGCTAACCATACATAACCATACCTAACCATACATAACCATACATAACCATACATAACCATACATAACCATACATAACCATACATAACCATACATAACCATACATAACCATACATAAAAGCCATATAAAAATCAAGATTAACCTTCTTTATTCAAAAAAATATTTATGTGTATAAATGTTTCTAAAAACAAGCACCACAAAAAAACATTTGCCTGATGCTACCTAAAAAAAAGCTAAAAAAATGTGGAACAAAATTTTAGCACAATTTTTTTTTTTTTTTTTAGTTTACATTTGTTGTCGTAGTAAATAAGTTACTTCACAAACACAAACAAGGTTTCTGAAAAAAGATAGTACTGATCTTATCATCAGAATATCATCTTATAAACTACATCAAAACATAACCAACAAAATAAAAAGTAATAAACAATAAAAGTTCTAAAGAAAATAAAAAATTAAGATAATTAAATTTTTTAGTTTATGTTTGAAAATGGGAAAAGTAAAATGCATGTTGAAATTGGACAAAACAATTTTATTCCAAAGATAGGGTGCACGATATGCAAAAAACAAACTGATTAAACTTGGTTCGACTCAAAGGCAAATATATAAAATTATTGTTTCTAAGTGTATATTTATTGGTTTCAAACAAAAGAGATCTTTTAAAAGGGTAAAGATATGTCATTTCTCCACATATACATAAAGAACAAAACATTTTAAATTATAATCTCATAAATATTGAGAACTTTCATTTCAATAAAAAGTGGTTTGGAATGAGTGTATCGATCCGCAAAATTTATTAAACGGATTGCTTGTTTCTGACGGCGATAAATGAATTTTAACTTACTTTTTTCAGTGCTTTCCCATGCAACATTAGCATTATTTATATAACTATGAATTAATGCTTAGTAGAGTTAAGTTAGACTTTTTTTACATAATAATGTTCTGATTTTTTATAGAATTCCAATATTTTTTTAGAAATTTTTGTACTATTTTAGTCGATATGCGTTTTCCATGTGATGTTTTAATCAAGAAAAACACCTAAGAACTTTGTTACATTATGTCTTTATATTTCAACATCATCAATAAAAATTTTAGGCAAATCTCGGTGTAAAAAAGTTTTTTTAGAAACTGAGTGCAGATGAACCCCATATCTAATGTTGAGAGTTAGTTTGTTGTATTTAAGCCATTTGGATATACTTTTAAGTTTCATTCATAGTATAGAAGAGTTTGCAAATGTCATTATCGGAAAAGAATAAAATAGTGCTATCAGCAAACACGATACTCATTAAATTCGAGACTCTATTTATATCGTTTATATAAATCAAGAACAATAGTGGTCCCAAAATGGAACCTTGTGGAACGCCACATGAAATATTTAAAAAAATTTTGGATGATCATTATTGCTGAAAACAAATTGCTTACGGTTGGATAGATTTAGATAACGTTTGAATCAATTTAACTTTACAAATTATTTTATTATATTTTAGCTTTTGTTGTAAAATTTCATGATCGACAGTATCGAATGCTTTCGAAAGGTCGATGAAAACACCTAATATATATTTAGACATTTCAAAAGAATTAGAGATTTCATGTTAAAATTGGATAACTGCATGTTCTGTGGAATTATTTTTTTTAAAGACGAATTGATAGTTGTATATAAAATTTTTAGAATGAAGGTAATTGTATAATCTATTGTACATAATACGTTCTAGTGTTTTTGAAAATGTGGAGAGGGCAGAGATACGGCGATAATTACTGATATTTGTTTGATCACCTTCTTTTAAAACTGGAGTAACTTTAGCAATTTTCAGTTGTTCGAGAAAAACTCTTTCGTGTATAGATGCTTCATAGATTTTAAATAGGATATCTTTTAAATATTCAAAACATTTTATGACTATATTACCGTTTATGTCATCTGCTCCGGTTGATTTTTTTAAAAAGAGTTTTGAAAGCTTTTTCAAACTCTTGGAAAGATAGTTCGAAGAAGAAGAAGATAATTCGTTGTAACTAGTGCAATTATCCATTTGTACTAAAAAACCTCTAAATGTAGCATTTGTATAAGCAATTATACCCAATAATAATTGTATATGAAATACCACTAATTTTATTCATTATTTTCTTGGTGCGTTTTGAATTATTTTTAAATTTTTCTATAAGTCTTGAGTAGTAATTTTTTTTCAAGTTTTTACGAACTTTTTCAAATAGGTATTTGTATTCTTCATTTATTTTTTCATTTGCAGATGATTTAGTTTTGAGGTATTTTATATAAAGCTTCTGTTTTATTTTTGATGATTTTTTAAATCCCTTGGTCGCCCATGGGTTGTTTATACTTTTTCAATTTAATGTTTTTACCATGATAGGAAAATTAGCGTCATACACGGAATAAATTGTTTCAAAAAATTTATTTTATATTATAATATAATATAATATAATAGTGCTGTACACTTAA